GTCTCTACTTCCCAAGTGCTGGGCTTCCAGGTGTGCTGTCATTCCTGGCTTCAAAGTCTTTCTGAACTCAAAGACTTCTGGGAAACAGTTCTGACACTTGTCTCACTGAGAATTCCTAGGGTTGGAATAGTGTTACCACATGATCAGGGTCTGAGTTGGGTGTTTCCAGGTTCCCAAGAATTGAAAATAAAGCCAGGTGGTGGTGGCGCACACCTGTGATCCCAGCATTCAGGAGGCAGAGGCAGGCAGATCTCTGAGTTTGTGGCCAGCCTGATGTCAGAATGAGTTCCGGGACAGCTAAGATTACACATAGAATTCCTGTCTCAGACAAAAAAGATTCTATCTCAAAAATGAGCAAACAAAACAATGAATAAAACATAAACAAAGAAAAGAAGGGTTCATCTAAGGGACAGAGATTGTCAGGATTGAAAGTGGCTGTGTGAATGATGGTACTCCAGTGCCCTAATTACTGTTTGGGCTTCCCTTTCATACTGTTCAACAGAAGAAGTGCCATAGTAAAAGAGTTTCTCTGTTATGAGTGATAGACTAGGTCATATAATCATTTACTTCTTTATTTAAACATTTTGATTCTGTGTGTTTGTGTTTGTGTGTACACGTGTGATGTGTGCGAGAGCAGTGCCGTGACAGACCTGAAGAGGGCATCAGATCCTTTGGAGCTGGAGTTACAGGTGGTTGTAAGTCATCAGATGTAGACAAACCTGGGTCTTTACTCTTTTTTTTGTTTGTTTGTTTTTCAAGACAGGGTTTCTCTGTGTAGTCCTGGCTGTCCTGGAACTCACTCTGTAGACCAGGCTGGCCTTGAACTCAGAAATCTGCCTGCCTCTGCCTCCCAAGTGCTGGGATTAAAGGTGTGCGCCACCACCGCCCAGCATCCTGGCTGGGTCTTTACTCTTAACTGATATATACTCTTAACGGATAAGCCATCACTCTAGTCATAGTAAGTTTTCTACTGCATGGATTCCTTTCTATAATGCACCTGCTTTTAACCATATGCATGCCCAGTCCTGCATAGGCATAAGATGGTAAACAGACAATTTTCCCTAAGAGTGCACTTGAGGACACAGCAATAGCACACACACCTAAAACCCAGTTCAGGCCAGATCAACATTCCTTTTCTTCCTACTAAAGAACACTGGGGTTGCAATTAACTAGACACTATCTAAATTTGACTGTTTGGGGTCAGAGAAAGTATACTATTGTTCAAAGGGATGATATTTGCACAGCCTAGTGCAGGTTGGGGAACAGGGGGCCTAAGGGTGGAAAGTGTGTTGTTTGGGGGAAGGTTGAGTGTGCACAGTATCCACAGGTAAAGGAAGTGTATTATTACAGGATGGGGGTGGTGCATAACCAAAACCAAACAGGGTCTCAGGCTTCTAGATCATTCCCTGCACTTGACGCCTTCAACAGTAGCCTCAGCTCCAGATGCTTCCGCAATCAGGAGGGACAAGCTAGAAGCAAGAGAAAGAATGGGCGTGAGCTTTCTACTGTTGATTGAGTCCCAAAATAAACACGAATAAACTGTCATACATGAGTTTAGAATACAGAGAAGCCTAGAGTGTGGTCTTGGAAGTTGGATTCAGTTGATGCATGGGAGAGCTGGGTCGCAAAGGCTGAGAGTGAGTAGGCTGTGCACGCAGGTCAGTTGGGAGAGTGATTGCCCCAACATGTGCAAAGCTTTGAGGTGGGCTCCCAGCACTGGATAAACCTGTTCTGCTGTTACACATCTAGAAACCCAGTAGGAAAATTAGAAGTTCAAGTTACATACTGAGTTTAAGGCCAGGTTCCATTATATGAGACTCTGTTTCAAAAGACAAACAAGCTAACAAATGGCCAGAGAGAGCCTCAAAGGGCTGCTGTGAAACTCTCACCCTCTACTAATGGGTTAATTTTTTATTTAAAAAGATTAATTATAGGGAAGCTGAGTGTGGTGGCATATGCCTTTAACTCCAGCCCTTGAGGGGCAGGGGCAGGAGCATTTCTGAGTTCGAGGCTATCCTGGCCTACAAATCCAGTTCCAGGACACCCAGAGCTGTTATACAGAGAAACCCAGTCTCGAACCTGGAGGCCGAAGTTGATGCTGAGGCTACGGAGGGGTGCTCATTACTGGCTTGCTCCCATGGCTTGCTCAGCCTGCTTTCTTATAGAACCCAGGACCACCAACCCAGGGACGGCACCAGCCACCTTGAGCTAGGCCCTCCCATCAATCACTAATTAAGAAAATGCTTTATGCCAAGTGGTGGTGGCGCATGCCTTTAGTCCCAGCACTTGGGAGGCAGAGGCAGAAGGATTTCTGAGTTCGAGGCCAGCCTGGTCTACAGAGTGAGTTCCAGGACAGCCAGGTCTACAAGAGAAACCCTGTCTCGAAAAACAAAAAAAAAGAAAAAAAAGAAAAGAAAAAGAAAATGCTTTACAGGCTCTTTTACAGCCCAATCTTTTGGAGGCATTTTTTTTTCAATTGGTGTTCCCTCCTTTCATATGACTCTAGCCTGTGTCAAGCTGACATAAAATTAACCAGCAGTACCTGCAGAGGACAACACCAGGTGTCACTCCTTGCCTTCCATCGTGCTTGGGACAAGGTCTTTTGTTTGCTGCTGTGCTATCAGACTCCCTGGCCTTCAGATTTACCCCTTGCATCTCCAGGTTCATTCACCTCTGGGAATTTGAACTTAGGTCCTCATGCTTAAGCAGAAAGCTCTTTCCCTATTCAGCCATCTTTCCAGCTATAAGGGGTTTTGCTTTATTTTTTTGAAACAGGATCTCATTGTGTTGTTCAGGCTAATTTTGAATTTGCCACTCTCCTACTGGGATAACAGGCATGTGCCTCCACACCCATTTAAAGTGTGTGTGTATGTGTGTGTGTGTGTATGCACATTGGTGCTTTACCTGCATGTATGTCTGTGTGAGAATGTCACAGACTGCCGGGAGCCAAACCCAGGAAACTACCTGCTGTCCCAAGAGAACCTAGGAAGTTTCCTGCTGTTCTAGAAAGCCTAGTCAGGGCAAGGTTAAGAAAGGCCGTTCACAAGTCTCAGGCCCCAGGAACTTAAAGAGCGTCTGGCATTTCCTACAAGCCAGTTACAACAATGGGATGGTCTAGGGCAATAAGGATATGACAGTGGGATGGTCTAGGGCAACAAGGATATGACAGTGGGATGGTCTAGGGCAATAAGGATGTGATAGTGGGATAGCCCTAAGCAATGACCCTCACCCAAACTTCCTGTTTTGCTGTGTCTTTATAATCTGCACCCGAAATTAAAGTTTCAGAGCTTGATCAGAACCCCAGACTTGCCCTCATTCCTTTTATTTTTTCTTTTTTTTTTTGTTTTTTTGAGACAGGGTTTCTCTGTGTAGTTCTGGCTGTCCTGCTGTCCTGGAATTCACTCTGTAGACCAGGCTGGCCTCAAACTCAGAAATCCACCTGCCTCTGCCTCCCAAGTGCTGGGATTAAAGGCATGTGCCATCACCGGCCCAGCGGTCTCATTCCTTTTGTCTCTTGTCCTTTCATTCTTTCACCCCTTCCCTAAGGTCTCGTCGAATCCCCGCAGACCGAGGCAACAGACAGTTGTAACCTGCCTTGTTGTTGTGAATTGAACCCTGGTCCTCTGGAAGAGGATTCAGCACTCTTAACCACTGAGCCATCTCCACAGCCTCTTTTGTTTTGTTTTGTTTTGTTTTGTTTTGTTTTGTTTTGTTTTGTT